GAGCTTCATACAAGTTTGAACTTCTAATATTTCTATACGGAGAAGTTTGAGCCTGAAACTATTTCGTATTAACTAGCTTGAGCCTCAAACTCATCTGTATGAACTAATTTGAGTCTCAAACTGTGCTTTATAAACAATTATGGGCATCAAAATTTTCTAAGCGAACATGTTTGAGCCTCTAAATTTTTTTTCCGAACATGTGTGAGCCTCAAAATGTTCTATGCGAACATGTTTGAGCCTCAAACTGTTCTATGCGAACATGTTTGAGCCTCAAACTGTTCTATGCGAACATGTTTGAGCTTCAAATGGTTCTATGCGAACATGTTTGAGCCTCAAACGGTTCTATGCGAACATGTTTGAGCTTCAAACGGTTCTATGCGAACATGTTTGAGCCTCAAACGGTTCTATGCGAACATGTTTGAGCCTCAAAGGGTTCTATGCGAACATGTTGGAGCCTCAAACTTTTCTCTGGGAACATGTTTGAGCCTCAAACTGTTCTATGCGAACATGTTTGAGCCTCAAACTGTTCTATGCGAACATGTTTGAGCCTCAAAATGTTCTATGCGAACATGTTTGAGCCTCAAAATGTTCTATGCGAACATGTTTGAGCCTCAAAATGTTCTATGCGAACATGTTTGAGCCTCAAAATGTTCTATGCGAACATGTTTGAGCCTCAAACTCTTCTATGCGAACATGTTTGAGCCTCAAACTCTTCTATGCGAACATGTTTGAGCCTCAAACTCTTCTATGCGAACATGTTTGAGCCTCAAACTTGTCTATGCGAACATGTTAGAGCCTCAAACTTGTCTATGCGAACATGTTAGAGCCTCAAACTTGTCTATGCGAACATGTTTGAGCCTCAAACTTGTCTATGCGAACATGTTTGAGCCTCAAACTTGTCTATGCGAACATGTTTGAGCCTCAAACTTGTCTATGCGAACATGTTTGAGCCTCAAACTCTTCTATGCGAACATGTTTGAGCCTCAAACTCTTCTATGCGAACATGTTTGAGCCTCAAACTCATCTATGCGAACATGTTTGAGCCTCAAACGGTTCTATGCGAACATGTTTGAGCCTCAAACGGTTCTATGCGAACATGTTTGAGCCTCAAACTTTTCTCTGAGAACATGTTTGAGCCTCAAACTGTTCTATGCGAACATGTTTGAGCCTCAAACTGTTCTATGCGAACATGTTTGAGCCTCAAACTGTTCTATGCGAACATGTTTGAGCCTCAAAATGTTCTATGCGAACATGTTTGAGCCTCAAACTGTTCTATGCGAACATGTTTGAGCCTCAAACTTGTCTATGCGAACATGTTTGAGCCTCAAACTTGTCTATGCGAACATGTTTGAGCCTCAAACTTGTCTATGCGAACATGTTTGAGCCTCAAACTTGTCTATGCGAACATGTTTGAGCCTCAAACTTGTCTATGGGAACATGTTTGAGCCTCAAACTCTTCTATGCGAATATGTTTGAGCCTCTAACTCTTCCATGCGAACATGTTTGAGCCTCAAACTCTTCTATGCGAACATGTTTGAGCCTCAAACTGTTCTACGCGAACATGTTTGAGCCTCTATGCGAACATGTTTGAGCCTCAAACTCTTCTATGCGAACATGTTTGAGCCTCAAACTCTTCTATGGGAACATGTTTGAGCCCCAAACTCTTCTATGCGAACATGTTTGAGCCTCTAACTCTTCTATGCGAACATGTTTGAGCCTCAAACTTTTCTGTGCGATTAGGTTTGACCCTCAAAATGTTCTATGCGAACATATTTGAGCCTGAAAATGTTCTATGCGAACATGTTTGAGCCTGAAAATGTTCTATGCGAACATGTTTGAGCCTCAAACTTGTCTATACGAACATGTTTGAACCTCAAACTTGTCTATGCGAACATGTTTGAGCCTCAAACTTGTCTATGCGATTAAGTTTGAGCCTCAAACTTGTCTATGCGATTAAGTTTGAGCCTCAAACTTGTCTATGCGATTAAGTTTGAGCCTCAAACTTGTCTATGCGATTAAGTTTGAGCCTCAAACTTGTCTATGCGATTAAGTTTGAGCCTCAAACTTGTCTATGCGATTAAGTTTGAGCCTCAAACTTGTCTATGCGATTAAGTTTGAGCCTCAAACTTGTCTATGCGATTAAGTTTGAGCCTCAAACTTGTCTATGCGATTATGTTTGAGCCTCAAGCTTGTCTATGCGATTAAGTTTGAGCCTCAAACTTGTCTATGCGATTAAGTTTGAGCCTCAAACTTGTCTATGCGATTAAGTTTGAGCCTCAAACTTGTCTATGCGATTAAGTTTGAGCCTCAAACTTGTCTATGCGATTAAGTTTGAGTCTCAAACTTATCTATGCGAAGATGTTTCAGCTTAAAACTAGTTTGAGCCTCAAACTTTTTCTATGGGTACAAATTTGAGACTCGAACTTTTCTTAGCGAACAAATTTGAGCTTTAAACTTGCCTATGCGAACTTTCAGCTCAACTCCATCTCTCACTTTTAACGCTTCAATTAAAACAGTTGTTTAATCTCTCTGCAGTTACCAACCAATAGACCCCACTAATATTTATTCGTTATGTCATTTTTCTGCAAACTACCAACAAATTGCACCAAATGTATTAAAATCGTTTGCACATTTTTTTATTGTTATTGTTTGTGCAATGCTGACGCATTTCCCCCCAAAAAAAAGTTACGAAAATAAATGTTTGATAAGATAATTTTGTTTTATTGGATTGAAGATCACCGACACTAGAGCAGCGTTATCAGTAAATAAATTATTTTCAATGTCATTTTCCAAGGACTATTGGAAATGAAAATTTCCCTTAACAAAATATGAGGATAATCTAAAACACAAAATTTTGGAATTTTAAAATTTTTAGAAAAATTTTATGAACTATTCCTTTGAAAATTTTGAAAATAATACATTTTTAAATTGCATCTTTGCTCTTCTTTGTTGTTGATGTCTCAGAAATCATCACACATCTTCAGGTTGATTGAACTTCTCCAGAACCCTTTCCGTCTGCTGATAAACCGAACATCAATCATAATGACTAAGTTCTCCTCAACGTTTATTGCCATTTTAGTGCAGTGTCAGTTATCATGCAGTCATTCGTGCAGAACTTGCAGTTTGCACAGCAAGAATCGGATGAGAGACGGTAACACTGGCGACGCCGGTTAAGCGTTCAACTGATAAGCCTGCAATGTGTGTTTTTTGGTGTTTGCATTTAACTTTTGTTGAAGATTGATTTGATGTTTTGCAGTCAGTTAGTGGCCAACAGTTAAATTCGAAACACCTACTTAACCCCCTTAAAACTACAACATCACCAGTGTTAAAAAAATTGAAATAGATATAGTGTCAAGAATTCCATCTGGTAATAAGGTGCGGAATCCATCTTCTTGAAAATGTAAACATATTTACATTTGCGTTTTTTTTCTTTCCTCTGTTTGATTTGTAATCGTGCCGATGTAATGAAAGTGAAACTTTTTACTTTTCGCAGCAAAAACAACTACAATTCTTATTGCATTTGTGGTTAGCCCCGGCGCCCTCATCGGTAAACAACGAGCGAACGAACGCACATACAAACACACAAATGCAAGATTTTGCAATTATTGCTCAGAATAAAGTAAACATTGAAAATGAAAATTATCAGAAGCGTTTACGCCCCAGTTGTAAAGCACACACTTCAAAATTCCAATCAACAACATGGATTGAATTATTTTTGGGATGAATTGCACAGGAAATAGATTTTGAAATTTCTTATCGAACAGTACGGATTTTATGTCACGCTTGAAGAAAAAAGAATCTGTCATCAAACCTTCTCCATCTTCATCGAAATGTTTGAGGCTCAAACCTATCGTCATAGAAAAGTTTGAACCTCAAACTTATCTTCATAGAAAAGTTTGAGCCTCAAACTTATCTTCATAGACAAGTTTGAGCCTCAAACTTATCTTCATAGAAAAGTTTGAGCCTCAAACTTATCTTCATAGAAAAGTTTGAGCCTCAAACTTATCTTCATAGAAAAGTTTGAGCCTCAAACTTATCTTCATAGAAAAGTTTGAGCCTCAAACTTATCTTCATAGAAAAGTTTGAGCCTCAAACTTATCTTCATAGAAAAGTTTGAGCCTCAAACTTATCTTCATAGAAAAGTTTGAGCCTCAAACTTATCTTCATAGAAAAGTTTGAGCCTCAAACTTATCTTCATAGAAAAGTTTGAACCTCAAACTTATCTTCATAGAAAAGTTTAAGCCTCAAACTTATCTTCATAGAAAAGTTTAAGCCTCAAACCTTCTTCCATAGAAGAGTTTGAGCCTCAAACCTTCTTCCATAGAAGAGTTTGAACCCCAAACCTCCCCCCAAAGAAGAGTTTGAGCTTCAAACCTTCTTCCATAGAAGAGTTTGAGAGTCAAACCTTCTTCCATAGAAGAGTTTGAGCCTCAAACCTTCTTCCATAGAAGAGTTTGAGCCTCAAACCTTCTTCCATAGAAGAGTTTGAGCCTCAAACCTTCTTCCATAGAAGAGTTTGAGCCTCAAACCTTCTTCCATAGAAGAGTTTGAGCCTCAAACCTTCTTCCATAGAAGAGTTTGAGTCTCAAACCTTCTTCCATAGAAGAGTTTGAGCCTCAAACCTTCTTCCATTGAAGAGTTTGAGCCTTAAATCTTCTCCCATAGAAGAGTTTGAGCCTCAAACCTTCTTTCATAGAAGAGTTTGAGCATCAAACCTTCTTTCATAGAAGAGTTTGAGCATCAAACCTTCTTTCATAGAAGAGTTTGAGCATCAAACCTTCTTTCATAGAAGAGTTTGAGCATCAAAACTTCTTTCATAGAAGAATTTGGGCTTCAAACCTTCTTCCAGAGAAGAGTTTGAGCCTCAAACCTTCTCCCATAGAAGAGTTCGAACCTATTATTTTTCACATAAAGTTAGTGACCTAATATTTAAAAAAGATAGTATGGCTTTCAATATTTCTTTAACGATTAATAAACATTTCTCTTCCTCCTCTTTCCAGATACTGCCGTAATCAACAAATCTACCTCAAAACTCGCGTTCGATTACAATAAAATTAAAATCTTAAAAAACAACAACAAACATGTTCTAATCTCCAAGAACATGGATTTCAAATCAATATAGAAAATCGCAAAACAAAACTTAGGGAACAACACACTGCAACCAATCACATCAACAACAACAACGCCAACGCCAACAACAAAAACACAGCTCATGGTCTCATCGATAAGTCGAAATTCTCTGAAACATTTCCTCAAATCGAACCTAAAACAACTGCAATGAATTCAGACGGTTTTAGTGATGTTGTTGTCAACAATGCAACAATAAATCATCTGAACGGTAATAACGGGAATCTCAAATCACAAGCTTTAAGTAATGGTCATGAAAATGGTTATAGCTCGAATGCAAATGGATCAGGTGCCGGCGATGACAAATCACCGGTCCATATGGTAAATGGCCAAAGGCGGGATTCCAATCAGGCCTGGACTCCGCTCTTGCAGAATGGCAGCAACAATAAACAGGCAACAAGCAACGATGATAACCTCTCTCTGGACGGCGGTTTGGGTGAGGCGAATTCGGATATTTATGCCGGGACAGGTAGCAATAATAATGAAGAACTGAAGAATCTAAAGAATGAAATGATGCACCACTCACCGCTGCAGTCGAATAACAATGGATCGCTGGTGAATGGCAAGAATGGTATAGGCCACACGGACAAGTATGACGAACTGGATCCCCTGACGGGCCTGTACAAGCAGAAACATGAAAGCGAAGATCTAGATCTGGATTCGCTCAAGGCCAACGGGGAGGGTTGTGGCCTCTTCGGCTTTAGACCCAGATGGGCCAGCAAATTGGCCTCCACCCATGTCTTTATGGTGGTGTTTCTAGTCGCCTATGTCCTGCAGGGTATGTACATGACCTATTTTGTATCGGTCATCACTACCATCGAGAAGCTGTTTCAGATCAAGTCAAAGACTACGGGTTTTCTACTGAGTGCCAGTGAAATGGGTCAAATCAGTACGGCCATGTTGCTGACATATTTTGCCGGGCGAGGTCATCGACCACGTTGGATTGCCTGTGGCATGGTTCTCTTTTCGATAGCGGCATTCTCCTGTGCCCTGCCACATTTCATATTTGGTAAAGATCTCCTACAGACCACGGCCATGTCGTTCAATAAAAATCGCCAAGATCCCATGGAGGATCTGGCGGCAAGCAATTTGGCTGGCGAATTGACGTGGGGCGTGAACAATGAATCTAGCAGTGTTACCCTGTCTCAGTTGGGTACTCAACATTTGGATTTGAATCTCTGTGTTTTGGGCAATCACACACAAAACTCCACCACGGGTAAGTGTAGGAACCTAACTTCTTTCCTTTGATTACCAAATTTATTATTCCATTCTCTTCCTTTTCAGAATGCAATGAAGATCGCAAAATCGAACAGGCATCTCACTCTAAAATAACCGTCATTGTACTGTGCATTTTCTTTGGCAGCTTGCTTAGCTCGGGTATTGGCCAAACGGCCGTCTCCACTTTGGGCATACCCTACATCGATGACAATGTGGCCAGCAAACAATCACCCATGTACATGGCCATCACAATTGGTGTAAGGATTTTGGGTCCTGCTTCGGGTTTCATTGTTGGCTCATTCTGTACCCGTTGGTATGTGAATTTTTCAAATCCTGGTTTCGATGCCAGTGATCCACGTTGGATTGGTGCCTGGTGGTTGGGTCCAGTGGGTATTGGTACTTTGATGTTGCTCTCATCGATTGCCATGTTTTCATTTCCCCGTGAATTGAGGGGCAAGAAACCACCACCGGCAGCTCCCAGTGCCGCAGAGGGTGAAAAGGTGGCTGAAACACCAGTGGAACCTGAAGAGAAACCAAGATTAAAGGGTGTGTATTTTATTTGAAAGAAAAACATTTTTGAGAAAAAGTTTGGTGCTCCAACTAATTTTCATTGAAAAGTTTGAGGCTCAAACTAATCTTCATTAAAAAAATGCTTGAGGCTAAAACTTATCTTTATAGAAAAGTTTCACGCTCAAACCTATTTTCATATAAGTTTTATGCTCAAACCTATTTTCATAGAAAAGTTTGAGGCTCAAACTTATTTTCATAGAAAAGTTTGAGGCTCAAACCTATTTTCATAGAAAAGTTTGAGGCTCAAACCTATTTTCATAGAAAAGTTTGAGGCTCAAACCTATCTTCATAGAAAAGTTTGGGGCTCAAACCTATCTTCATAGAAAAGTTTGAGGCTCAAACCTATCTTCATAGAAAAGTTTGAGGCTCAAACCTATCTTCATAGAAAAGTTTGAGGCTCAAACCTATCTTCATAGAAAAGTTTGAGGCTCAAACCTATCTTCATAGAAAAGTTTGAGGCTCAAACCTATCTTCATAGAAAAGTTTGAGCCTCGAACTTATTTTCATAGAATAGTTTGAGCCTCAAACTTGTCTTCATAGAATAGTTTGAGCCTCAAACTTGTCTTCATAGAATAGTTTCAGCCTCAAACTTGTCTTCATAGAATAGTTTGAGCCTCAAACTTGTCTTCATAGAATAGTTTGAGCCTCAAACTTATCCGTATAGAAAAGTTTGAGCCTCAAACTTATCCGTATAGAAAAGTTTGAGCCTCAAACTTATCCGTATAGAAAAGTTTGAGCCTCAAACTTATCCGTATAGAAAAGTTTGAGCCTCAAACTTATCCGTATAGAAAAGTTTGAGCTTTAAACTTATCCGTATAGAAAAGTTTGAGCCTCAAACTTATCCGTATAGAAAAGTTTGAGCCTCAAACTTATCCGTATAGAAAAGTTTGAGCCTCAAACTTATCCGTATAGAAAAGTTTGAGCCTCAAACTTATCCGTATAGAAAAGTTTGAGCCTCAAACTTATCCGTATAGAAAAGTTTGAGCCTCAAACTTATCCGTATAGAAAAGTTTGAGCCTCAAACTTATCCGTATAGAAAAGTTTGAGCCTCAAACTTATCCGTATAGAAAAGTTTGAGCCTCAAACTTATCCGTATAGAAAAGTTTGAGCCTCAAACTTGTCTCTATAGAACTGAGATTTTGTAAAATTATGGTCAAACTCTCTAAAATAAAAATATTTAAAGTATTTATTCGACACATTATTTATATTATATATTTTTTCATTTTCAGATTTCCCCAAAACGGTCAGGCGTCAATTGAGCAATGATATATTGATGTTCCGTACCGCATCTTGTGTATTCCATTTGCTGCCCATTGCCGGTCTCTACACTTTCCTGCCGAAATATTTGGAAACGCAATTCCGTTTGGCTCCCTATGATGCCAATATGATTGCAGCCTTTTGTGGTATTTTGGTTATGGGTATTGGTATTGTCATATCGGGTTTGGTCATTCTAAAATTGAAACCCACTGCAAGATCGGTGGCCGCCTGGATAGCCTTAACAGCTTTGGTCTACTCGGCCGGGATGGTCATATTAATGTTTGTCGGCTGTAATATGAATGATTTTGCCGGTTATAAAACGGCCAATAGTATTGGGTAAGTATGGGGTGGACATATTTTGGAAAGTTATGTTATGTTAAAATGTAATTTATATGTTTTAGACCCGCCACAATTGAGCCAGCCTGCAGTGCTGCCAATCTCTGTTCATGTGACAAGGAACAATTTGCCCCAATTTGTGGCATTGATGGAAAAATTTACATATCTCCCTGCCATGCTGGCTGTTCCACGGCCAGTATGCGTAGCAGTGATAATCATACGGTATTTTCGAACTGTACATGCATTCCAGATGGTGAGTTTGGGAAATTTTATCACAATTCAATGAAAGAAGTAAAAATTGTCATTTCTTTCCCTTTCCAGTTACTGAAGCTTTTGGTACCACCCTACCCACCTTTGAGGCTAGCAGTGGCTATTGTGATAGTAATTGCAAAAATTTCATTATTTTCATAATTATATTTGCCGTGTGCGTTTTTATGCACTCCACATCGGAGGTGGGCAGCATGTTGTTGGTCATGCGTTGCACCCATCCAAAGGGTAGGCTAAATTATTTACAAATTATATTATGATGTTGTATTGATAATTCAATTATTTTTAATAATTTTTTAGATAAAGCCATGGCCATGGGTGTCATACAATCGGCCATTGGTCTGTTTGGCAATGTTCCTTGTCCAATTATATACGGAGCTGTGGTGGATTCAGCATGTCTCGTATGGAAATCAGTTTGTGGCAAGCATGGAGCATGCTCATTATATGATGCCGATACATTTAGGCATTACTTTTTAGGTGAGTATTATGGGGTCAATATCCCAGAAATAGACTTTAAAAATTTAAATTAATTAGTCAGGCTTTCCTTTGAAGTATAGGTGTTAAAATCCACTTTAGTTGGATTTAAAAATCTTATTTAAATGGCCAATGGTTAAAAAAAATTAGTTTAAAAATCGACGTTAAATGACGAGACGATAGTTGAAAAAAAACTTCAAAAATTCCAAATGAAATAGACTTTAAAAATTTAAATTAATTAGTCAGGCTTTCCTTTGAAGTATAGGTGTTAAAATCCACTTTAGTTGGATTTAAAAATCTTATTTAAATGGCCAATGGTTAAAAAAAATTACTTTAAAAATCGACGTTAAATGACGAGACGATAGTTGAAAAAAAACTTCAAAAATTCCAAATGAAATGGCAAGGCAGTCCTTAAAAAAATACGCTTTAAAAATTTAGGATAAATGGCCAGACAGTCCTTGAAAAAATAGGTTTTAAAAATCTAGGTTAGTTGGATTTAAAAATCCTACTTAAATGCCCAATGGTTAAAAAAATTTACTTTAAAAATCCACGTTATATGGCCAGACAGTAGTTGAAAAAAAAAACTTAAAAATCCAAATGAAATGGCAAGGCAGTCCTTGAAAAAATAAATGGCCAGACAGTCCTTGAAAAAATAGGCTTTAAAAATCCAGGTTAAATGGACATACAATAGCTAAAAAATTAACCTTAAAAAATCCATTTTAAATTACCGGTCAGTAGTCGAAAAAAATTTGTTTAAAAGTCCTCGTTTAATGGCCAGGCAGAATTTAAAAAAATAAGATTTAAAAATCCTTTTATATGAAAGTTGAAAAATAACTTTAAAAAAATCCATGTTAAATGGTAAGAAAGTCCTTCAAAGGCTGTCCTTTGAAGAATAAGTGTCAAAATCCAAGTTAGTTGGCTAAACATTAGTTGAAATGATAAGATTAAAAAATCCAATTTAAATGGCCAGATGGTAGTTGAAAAAAACTACCTTAAAATCCACGTCTAATGGCCAGATGTTAGTTGAAAAAACAACGTTTAAAAATCCAAATTAAATGGCCAGGCAGTAGCTGAAAGAAATGCCTCTGAAATTCCATTTTAAATGGCCAGTCAGTAGATGAAAAAATTTACTTTTAAAGATTTTTGTTAAATGGCCAGTCAGTAGTTGAAAAAATAACATTTAAAAATCCAGTTTAAATGGGAAGACAGTCCTTGAATAAATGGCTTTTAAAATACATTTCATGGTTTCCAGATGGTGAGTTTGGGAAATATTTAAAAGCCCTCTTTTACTGGTCAGACAGTAGTCAAATAACTTAAAATTCCAGATCTAATGACCAGAGAGTAGTTGAAAAAATAATCTCGGTTAAATGGCCAGACAGACCTTGAAAATATTATTTTTAAATAAACGTTAATTGGCCAGAGACTCCCTAAAAAAATAGACTCTAAAAACTGTCCTAAATAACACTGTGCGACAAAATTCAATTTTTTTAAAAATTACGGGGAAAGGCCAGCGAATTATTAAAGTATGGCTAAATGGAAGACGCGTGTATTTGGCGTTTTGAAATTTTACATCGCAGAAAAACCCTAAATAGAGGGGGAAAGTTCCTCCCTCTTTTCTAGAATTTTCGTATTTAGATAAAAAAAAGTGCCATAATGTTTACATTTTTTAAAAATATTTATTGAATGAAAGCAAAAAATGTCGGAAATAGCATCAAATTTTAGAATAACTTTAGATTTGTTCGAATTGGTCACCTTTGGCACGAATTTGATGGCCTTCAAACAGCCAATGAAACCGTCACACACTGCCCGAATATTGCTCTGTGGTATTTCGACCCATTCCCGGCGAAGTGCTTGCTTGAGATGATCGACACTTTGGTATTTTTTAGTGACAACCTTGCTTTCCAAAATAATCCAGACACAATAGTCCAAGGGATTAGTATCCGGAGATTTTGGTGGCCATTGTGCGCTGGAAATGAAGCGTGGAACTTCATTTTGTAACCATATTCTTGGGTGCGCGTGTAGAGTGCGATGGTGCTGAGTCCTGTTGGAATGTCCAAGGTCTGTGGCCAAAATATTTGCATGCCCAAGGCTTTAATACACCCTCCAGAATATTTTCGCGATAATATTCGGCTTTTATTCTGATGCCACGGTCGATTAATACGATCGGAGAGCGACCATCGGCTGTTATGGCGGCCCACACCATCACCATGGCCGGCCTAGACAAACCTACCCTGGTTTTTGACGCAATTACGTTCAGAATGGTGTAGTCGTCTCAATTCGTATTCAGCATGAATTGATGAAGATGTGCGTGACGCCTGTCTGGCGTGTTATACAGGCCCGCACAATACGCTACACCTCTTTAATTTCACAACCAAACCTACCCAACTCACTCCAGAAGATCTCTGGCTACAGGCCATCAAAGTAGTCGAATTTCTAAACCTGGAGCTGGAACCTGATTAGCAGAAGGCAAACACTTGCAAGTACTACTGCTACAACAACAACAACCATGGTCGGCGCTTGAGTTCTGTTGGCCAACCGAAGGTGCACATTTTCGTCTGACCTCTTTGGCAAGTTAACACGATCCACGATCATTTTGTTTGTTTACAAACTGCTGGACAATGAATGTTTTCTCATCGGAGACGGAGAAAACCAAATCGGCAGTTTACCACTTTCGTTCGGCCAAGCGAAGCAACTCTTTAGCTCTTTTGGGTCTGTTTTCTTTCCGTTGCGGTGTAAGTTCTTGCACTTTTTGGAATTTCAATGGCTTTAACCCGAGCTCATTTTTTTATATTTGCCGAATGGAATATTGCGATATGTTCAGCTCACGAGCCTTTTTTCGGCCACTGCGACAAGTTTTCGATCAAGTCGCTTCTTTACTTTTCGAACAATTTCTGCTGTTTTCTTCCGTTCACTTCCTTAACGTCGGCCTACGCTACCAGTATCACGGTAACGAGCGATGATACGAGACACAAATATTTATTCACATTTAAATGCTGAAGTGCTCCGACAATAGCCACTTGTGGTTTTCCAGCCAAATATAAAGAAATCACACTATCACGCTTGAATTCCATCATCAATAACTTTTTTCTGGAAACTTCTCACTGAAATACTTTTGTACGCTTGTAAACAATATAATGAGCTGTCACTGGAATATTTTTAACAGCTGTAGGACGAGTGGCTTAGAAATGATAGCAGCCTGAAGTTGGTTGAAGTTTTCCATCTCACCCTGTAAAGTACGGCTGCTTTCAAACTTCAGATTTGTTAGCATTTATTCTCCAAATTGTCCCTGAAAATCTACTTTAAGAATTTCTTCAAAGTTCCTTGAAGAATCCACCATTAATTTAATAATTTGGTTTCCCCCTTCCTCTCCTTCCAGGTATTACGGCTGGTATTATGTTTTTGGCCTTTATTATGGATTTAGTTGTGTGGAGTAAGGCCCATCGCATTGACATCGCACCCGAAGAGAACAAAAAAGAAGAGGATGATAATAAATCAACAGAGACTGAATATAAAAAGGCAACGGTTTCACCCGATACCAGAGTATAAAATCGTAACAGAAAAAAATACTACAAAACAAACAAAAAGCGCACATTGTTATGTTACACCCCCATACACACTCTCACACACACACACACATCCACGGCGATTTTACAAAAAAAAAAAAAAAAAAACAAAACTATATATGTAATTTGTTTTCAGTTTTTTTATATGATTTTTATTTTTTAATTACTCTTTAGTCGGGGATTCTAATCAATTTTTTTTTGTAAATTTACACATATATTGATATATGTGTTAAGGTATTAATAATACTGTCTTGAATCCTGTGTGTAACCCTTTTGTATGCTTATATGTATCTAAAAAGGTATAACAATATGTTTCCATAACATTTATTTAATCTTATACAGATATATATTTTTTAAAATTTAGTTTTTCTTTTTATTTTTTGTAATTTTTTGACTCATAATTTGTATAAAATTTTATTATGCTATTAGTTTTTATACACATATTATTATTATATTTTTTTCAATATTTTGGCATCATTTTAAACAATGCCTAAAATTTGTAAAAGACCTGTGGCGAAGATAGAATGAGTCAATGTAGTCATTGTTACAAGACTCCGAGATCAAGAATTATTTTATGGAATTTCTTTTGTAATGTTTGCAATAAAAATACATAATTGTGATTTGAAATTCAAATAGAGCCAAATCACAATAGTGCAAAGCTACTAAAATTATTGTCAAGGTAGCCCGACAAATAAGTTTGCCGTCAAAAGACATATTGTATATTGAAACTCAAAGCAAAGACCTAAAATGGTAAAGACTAGACAAAATGCATTCTGAGCAAATGGTTTGTGTCTATACTATCTATATAACAGTTCATGACGGGAATATTTTAATATAAAAAAACACATATATAGAAATAAATGACAAACAAAAATTTAAAAAATCCAAAAATTAGGTTTCAAAATTCTTTTCCATAGACTTTCCAAATTAATTGCATATTGCCTTAGCGGTTTAAATCGCATAACATTGCTAACTATGTTGTTACGATATCATAACAACAGAGGTATTTTCACAGGGTTGCCATATTTTGACTCTGTCTTGTCCTATCTTTACACTTCTATGTCTTTGCAAAAAGTCTTTAAGGCTTTATAAATAAATTTCCGTTGTCTCAGAGGACTACAATCAAAGACATAGAAGTGTAAAGATAGGACAAGACAGAGTCAAAATATGGCAACCCTGTGAAAATACCTCTGTTGTTATGATATCGTAACAACATAGTTAGCAATGTTATGCGATTTAAACCGCTAAGGCAATATGCAATTAATTTGGAAAGTCTATGGAATAGAATTTTGAAACCTAATTTTTGGATTTTTTAAACTTTTGTTTGTCATTTATTTCTATAAATGTGTTTTTTTATATTAAAATATTCCTGTCATGAACTGTTATATAGATAGTATAGACACAAACCATTTGCTCAGAATGCATTTTGTCTAGTCTTTACCATTTTAGGTCTTTGCTACAATTTTTTATTCAATCTTGAATTGCACTCTGAGAAACAAAAACTTTTGTGATTTATTTTTTATAAGACTCTAAGGCCTTTAAAATTTCTGAAAAGTTTTCTGCCTTTTAAAATGTTTTAGAAAATTGCTTTGGCCTAGAATGTCTACAACATTTTATAAAAAATGTCGTTGGTCTAGGGGGCCTACAAAATATTATTAATTCCGCGTAAGCCTATAAATCTTTGAAGATTTTTTTTTAAATCTTTATAGAAAAAAAAAATAACATCCGAGGACCACATAATTTTTATATCCTACACACACTGCGGCCAGGGTATTATGTCTTTGTGCAACATAGTGAAAGAAGCGAGTTGGACTCATGGTTCCTTTTGATGATCTGCATATAATTACATTCTGAGTCGATTTATGGACGTCCGTCTGTTCATGTATTTTTGAAAAAAAAATATAGATCGCATTTATCGCCCGATCGTGATGAAATTTTACACAAATCTGTTATTTGGGCCCAGAACGAGCCCCATTGAAATTGGAGATAATCGGTCAAAATTTATATATAGCTCCCAAACGGGTAATTTTATCCCAAATAGTATGGTATTTTGCACGTACGACCAGATGAGGGCTGAAAATAGGTATGCCAAATTTTATCAAAATCAGTTCAGAAATAGCCGTAGCTCCCATATATGTCTTCGTCCGACTTCACGTTTAATGGTGCACCAAATGGTTAATATAAGCCCGAATGGCATGGATTTTGGCATATATTATCGTATTTAGCCTGGAAGAAGGTATATCCAATTTGGTGAAAATCGGTTAAGATATAGCTATATGGGTCCCATATACACGTTTTTCGTCCGATTTTGTATTTTACTCCCTCACACCTGTAAAATACTCTCCACAACAACGATATTTGGTGCCAACTATCGGATACAGTATAGACATACCTCTGCTAAATTTTATAAAGATCGGTTCAGATTTGAATATAGCTCCCATATATATGTTTATTGTGCCTAAAAGGGTAATATCAAAAGAGCAACATATATGTATCATAAAGTCGGCCTAGCCTCCTAGTCCAACCAAATTCAATGGAAATAACTTTCTTAGATCTTGAGTCTTTTAATATTTTATAAATTTTTTTTTAGATTCCAAAGGCTTAAAAAAGTTAAAAAATGTAGTTTCATTCTTTGGCCTCACAGATTCTCACAAAAATGTTATAGACATTTTCGATCTACTACATTTTATATAAAAAATACATTCGCTATCAAGGCCTGCAGAACTTTTGAAATTCTGTGGATTTTTTCTCAAATCAAAAAAATAAGACGACAATTTGATAATTTTCCAATAGCTTCTATTTCCATGCAGTTTTTAACAATTTAGGCAATTGTTTTATGACAGATCATTTGATTCCCTTTTTTATTATTTTATTTCTGTTTTTTTTTTTTTTTAATACCTTTTAGTCTTAAAATAGTCGGACGTACATATGAACCTATGTGCAATCTAATTTATCTCCATAGAATAATGATAATAATAATAATAATAATAATATTAACAATAATGATACGTCATAACTTTATGTTTATTTGTTATAACTATTTTTTTTTAAGAAAAAATACTTTTTTTTAATTCCTTTTTTTATAACCCTAAGTTGAAGTTAACGTTAAATGTATTTTTTATATATAATACCATAAGGAAAAAAAGTAAAAAAAAACGAAAAACAAGAACAAATCAATATCCTACTCTTATGTTTTAATTCAAAAATAAGCAAAAAAAAAATAATGGGTAAAAAATTAAAGAAAAACTTGAAAAATCTCAGTTAAATAAATAAAAAATTTAAATAATTATAATTAATGTCTTTGAAAACAAATATCGAATGATTGATTGATGACTGATTTAAAAAAAGTAAATTGAATGTTGTGCCAGACAGGAAAACGCAACGAAATCCATATTATGGAAGCAAAAATGAAATATTGAAAGATATACCGAGAAGGGACCCAGAATGGATTCATTCAAATATATGTTAAAAAAATAAAATCGTATGAAAACATTAAAAAATAAATAGAAATCCATATTAAATGTATGGAGCTAAAATGAAATATTGAAAGATATACCGAGAAGGCATCCAGAATGGATTCATTCAAATATATGTTAAAAAAAACATAAAAAATTAAATAGAAATATAAGTATGTCATTACTAGAAAATAACAAAACCATGTTATAGAAATCATAAATGCTCTGTTTCAGAATCTGCAAGATTTTAATTTTTTTGCCATTTTTTTCGTTATTTTATAAAGGAAAAATCGGTTTTACATTCTTGCAGTTCTGAAACAAAGCAAACACTAATAACGTTATATACATATACAAGTTATTATTACATTTACACATTTAAATTAGAAATTGCAACCTATCTGTGGTAGTTATTATTTAGTTAAAATTAACAACACTTCTTTTTTTTGTAATTATTAAATTATTTTTTAATTCGTTTTTCTTCTATAAATAATAGTAATGCATTAATAAAACTACAAAAGAGAAACAAAAAAAAGAAAATCAAATTCCATTGCAAAGAAATTTTGTTAAAAAAAATTAAAAAATAATAATCGAAACTGGCAACCAATGCATTTCTTCTCTATCATAATTTTTTTAATATAAAATTCAATAGAAATTTTGAGCATTCTAAACATAAGAGTAGAATGCTTATCGAAATGGCATTTAAAAAAAATAATTTTAATTTAAAACGTTGAATATTCAAAAGTACTACTAAGTGTTTAATGTATTAAAATTGCGAAAAAAAGAAAAGAAAACACGCCAATTACCTCTGCAAACATTACATAATTAAAACAAATACCCAATCGGAAAACAAACAAATGTATCAAAATGAAATAAATGTGCATTTATGTATGAATATTCAAAAAAGTGTGCGTTTTTTCTGTGGTAATTTAAAAGGAGAACCAGTTAAAAGGTATCAATCGGTTTTGCCGACACATGTATGCCCTAAGCCAATATTAATATTTTGACTTCTGCTATGATTATTCAAATTGTTGACCCTCTATAAAGTAGTTTCCGAAGAAGTGGGTCAATATTGTAAACATAAATATTGCGAAGTTCCAGGTTTGGACTATAACTTCACTTTATTTGATATATGTGAAAAATTATTTAGAAAATTTTACAATATGCCTGAGCCACTAGATATATAGTCGACCGAAGTATTCCATTTTCATACTTATCCTAATACAGATAAAAAAAAAAATATTGGTATGGGCAAAATTACAAGAAAATCGAACATTTATATCAAATTTTATGAGAAATCATAAATTCCATATTCATCTCAGGTTTTTTGGTTTGGAGAGAAATATTTAGATATAGCAAGTTGTAAAGAATCGCTGTTTTTTTTTCGCAAGTTATGACAGATAAAAATATTGAAAATTTTTACCCTTTGTGGGTAAGGTACCAGAAGAAGGTATTCAGTAGATCTTGTGTTAGCAAAAGTTTGAAGAGAGTTGGCTGCTTATTTCACTTTCTTTGAGCGTTTTGTTTTTCAAAATATTGAAACCTATGTGGGGGAGGTACCGGAAGAAAGGATCCGATCTCTACTATCTTTATAACAGATCTTGTGTTGATGGAAATATTGAAATGTAGCAAGTCTGAATGGAATCGGATGTTAATTTTGTGTTCTATGAGCTTCTTGGATATTCAAAATTTTAACCCTTTGTGGGGGAAGCACCAGAAGGAGTAGACCCATATATCCCATCTTCACAGCAGATCTTGTGTTAGTAGAAATAATGGAAATACTTATTTCGAATTTTATGGTAGTTTTTGTTATTCAAAACTTTGACCCTTTGTGGGGGGAGGTACAAGAAGAAATGGTCCGATCTCCACCATCTTGATAACAGATCTTGTGTTGATGGAAATATTGAAATGTGCCAAGTCGGATGTTAATTTCGCTTCCTATGAGCTTCAAGGATATTCAAAATGTTGGTCCATTTCTGAGGGAGTTTCCATAAGAAGTGGACCGATATGTTCCATCTTCACATCAGACCTTGGGTTAGTAAAAATAACAGGATGTGTGAAATATGAAGAAAACCGAATACATATTTCCGATTTTATATTCGTTTTGGTTATTCAAAACTTTGACTCTTTGTAGGGGAGGTACCCGAAGGAATGGTCCGATCTCTACCATCTTAGTAAGAGATCTTGTGTTCATGGAAATATTGAGAAGCGCCATGTCTGAATTAAGGTGGATGTTAATTTTCCGTTTTGTGAGCTTCATGAATATTTAAAATTTTGGCACTTTCTGAGAGAGATACCAGAAGAAGTGGACCGATATATTCCATCTTCACATCAGACCTTGGGTTAGTAAAAATAACAGGATGTGTGAAATATGAAGAGAACCGGATACATATTTCCGATTTTATATTCGTTTTGATTATTCAAAACTTTGACCCTTTGTGAGGAGAGGTACCCGAAGGAATGGTCCGATCTCTACCATCTTAATAAGAGATCTTGTGCTCATGGAAATATTGAGAAGCGTCAAGTCGGAATGGAAACGGATGTTAATTTCCCGTTTAATAAGCTTCAAGGATATTCAAAATGTTGGCCCATTTCTGAGGGAGGTTCTAGAAGAAGTGGACCGATATGTTCCATCTTCACAGCAGATCTTGTGTTAGTAGAAATAACAGGTTGTGTGAAATATGAAGAGAAGCGGATACATATTTCCGATTTTATGTTCGTTTTGGTTATTCAAAACTTTGACCCTTTGTGGGGGAGGTATCCAAAGGAATGGTCCGATCTCCACCATGTTGATAACAGATCTTGTGTTGATGGAAATATTGAGAAGCTCCAAGTCTGAATGGAAACGGATGTTAATTTCCCGATTTATGAGCTTCATGAATATTCAAAATTTTGGCCCTTTCTGAGAGAGATACCAGAAGAAGTGGACCGATATATTCCATCTTCACACCATACCTTGGGTTAATGAAAATATTGTGATGTGTGTAATTTGAAGACAATCGGACTCTTACATCACATTTTATAAGAGTTATAATTATTCAACATTTTGGCCCTTTGTGGGGGATGTACTTGATGAAGAGGACCGATATTGTCCTTTTTCGCACCTGGCGTGGCATTGATGCAAATATTAGGATTTGCAAAGTTGTAGCAAAATCTTACAGTAAAATCTTTGTTTGAAAATGTCGACCTTTTTGTGGGGTAGATTCCAGAAGGAGTGGACCGCTATTACCCATTTCCAAACACGATCTAAGTTTGACCATAATATTACGATGTACCAAGTTTGGACCAAATCGAATACTTCCTTCGAGAGTTGTCGTGCCCACCAGCCAGACAGACAGACGGTCGGACATCTCTAAATCGACTCCAAATGTCTTGAAAAGGATTTGGTTCAAAGAGACCCAGGGTCTAACACCGTTATTTCGACAAGGCACGTTTTGGCCGTATCAAATGATATATACCCTCTGTAGCCATATGGCTTTATACCCTCAGCCAATTGGCCTTATGTTGGAGGTCTTCAACATTCACTAGAAAAAATAATTAATTTTTTTATTTTTATTATTGTTGACATGTTTTGAATGCACTTTATTAATATTTTTGTTTTATTTAAATTGGTTTGGTGTGTGTGTTAGAAAATAAAAATAAAACAAAATTAATACAACAATGGCAGTAATTCTATATTACAATAACATGAAATTAAATTACACTGGTTTATGGAGAATTTTGTTTTTTCGTTTTTCTATTTTTTCTTATTTATTTATCACTTTTGTTTTGTGTAACACGAAACAATGCATGTTATGTAAATTTAAATTTAAAAAAAAGATGGGCTTGTACACCATTTATTATTTTCTATTTCTTTGTATTGATTTGTTTTTAATGGGGGGTACCAAACTAAAATCGGTATAACAAACTAATAAGATAAATATATTTATTTAGTTAAACATTAACAAAGAAACAGATTTATTTATCTTTCGGTTGAAGAAAAACTGCTATTCAAAACAAATTCGAAATCCATGGGGTAACTCAATGCCCTCACTTTTGGGGATTTGCTCAAATGTTTTGGAAGTAAGAATAAAGTCTACCAGTCACAATTTCAGACTCAACGTTATAGGAAAAAATGAATCAACATGTACTAGCAATCCGGTGACCATAACTTAAAAGTTCTATCGAAGGAAGTTGTAACAATGAAATTCGAATTCGATGATATATCCAAGGACACAACTTTGCCATCGTGACCCTGCAATGTTTTCAGCGGTTGCCATGTTTTGTTCGACCATATTTTGGTGGTGCAATCGTAGGAGCATGTGGCCAGAAAACTACCACCATCTCGTTGATATTTGACATCGGAGATAAGATTGACATGGGCAGGAATGGTGTAGACGGGTTGACGTCGTCTTAGATCCCAAATTTTACATGTGTTATCTTGGGAGCCGGTGGCAATGTGAAAACCATTTGGTGAGAAATCCACACCAAAAATGGAACCCAAGTGGCCCTCCAAGAACATAATACAGCGACCTGAAAAAAACAACAACATTTAATTATATAATCCTCATAAAATTAATATAATTTGCTCACTAACCTGTTCGCAAATCCCACACTCTTCCAAAGGCGTCCAGGCCACCGGTAACAATTACACTGCCCTCATGTTGGAAACTAAGGCAATGCACGGCCTTGGCATGACCTTCTTGATGTAAAACTTCGGTTTTTTGTTCAAGATCCCATAGGCGCCATGAGGAGTCATAACACGCTGTGGCCAGAAATCTTCCGGATGGATGAAAACCCAATTTGGACACCCTATGTGGCATGTGACCTGTTATATCGGCTATGGATTCCTCCGAATTGAATCCCCAAAGTTTAACGGAACCATCATGACCTCCCGATGCCATGGCCACAACATTTTCTTCATCTCGTTTGACACCCGGGCGAAATGCCACTCCACCCACATAACTGGTATGACCTCTTAGTGTCTGCTCCAGCTTACAGTCAGGCACCGACCATACCTTACACAAACCTGACCATGACGATGTAACCAACAGCGTGGAATCATCATTAAAGGCACTACCACTCAGTGGTCTGGTATCACCCACTTGACTGCAATGTGGCCCCAAAGACTGCAAACGTTTTTGTAACTCAACCATCCGACCCGCCCTTGTGGCACTTGGCACCTCAAGCGCCTCACGTGCCTTTTCCAAACGTTCCTTGGCCCGCGGCAATGAATAGTGGGCAATCCAAAGCCTAGCAACCCTTAACGTTTCCGGTCCCTCATGATACCATGTGGTTTCTTGTTCCTTTTGTAACTGCTTTCGTTCTTCTTCTTCATTCTGCTTTTGTTTAATGGCATTTTCACCCAAACTAGCCAATAACTCTCTTAAGCGGCGTCTACGCTCCGCTGGACCTTCTCCAAAATAACATATCGGTTCATTTAATTGTCGCAAATTCCGTTTAATTTCTGCATCATCCGTTGACACATTTATTTGGCGAGCACGTTTCTTGCGCTCAAATTCCTCCAGCAACGCAACTTTGTCTTTAGAAATTTCCGTCTCCAAATCAAAATAATCATCCGTAATCTTATTGGCTAGGGCGGCAGCTGTTGGTGGTGGCGCTGATTGGACTGCAGCTGCCTGGTTGCTTTTTCTTTGATCATCAACATAATCTTCATCGGAATCGATGTCTTCCAATTGAGCAGCAGCACCCGCCGCTATTCCCGCTCCACTCGCTGCTGCAGCGGCGCCAGTAGATGATGCCAAACGCTTTCGCTCAACTTCCTCTAGTGAGCCATAATACAGTGTTCGTTGCCGTTTAATGTATTGTATATCTTCATCGTCGGACATATTATTTTATGTTCAAACGAAGAATTAATAAAAATAATTTATACAGAATTTCTTTTTGAACCAAACAATTTGCCAAAT